TTATTTTTATTTTATTGCAACGGGTCTTTCAAATAATACAATAATCTATGTCAAGCTCTATTTATTATTTCTAACGTCAGAAACAAAAAGTGTCGATCTTTTTTTAACTTGACGAGCTGCAATTTATTTACTGTTATAGTCGAACGTATTAATGCTCGTTTGTAATGTACTCAATATCCTGCAAGCAAAGATTCGCCTTTGTAGTGAAGAGAACGACGGAAATAACGGGAGCGTTGCACCTGTTATAGCTATACGCAAAAACAATCGCTTTTTCCTAGATAATTCGCGCAGATACAATTGGTTAGTATATCGAAACCGTTTCATCGGCAAAGCTTCTCAAAACTTTATCCGCCACACATCCGATTCTGTCGGAGAGACGAGCGATGTTAGATAAACCGGTGGTCGACCATTACCAGCCCACTTCGTGTAATTACTGATCCTCAGATACATCTTCTACTTTTGCATGATCGTTTTGCATTGACTCGATCTCATCAAGTTTCTCTGATCAAATCGGCATCGTTCGGAATTTCAGGATATTAATCATTTTCGATCAAGCAATGTTCTATTCTTAGAAGTTACATAATTACTGATCTATCAGAGTAACTTACATTGTTTAGCTATAAGTATAAGCAATAGGTATATATTTATTTATTTATGTAGTTAAATATTTAATTTAAATTATTTTGATAATTCAGTATTTTTTTTTCTAAAATTGCATACTTTTGCAATTACATAATTACGTAATTCTTTGATGCATTAGTTGCATAATATCCATATAACGAGTTTTAATCAAAGATAGTAATAAATGTTATTTAAATTACCAGTTAATTATTGTCTTCTATTTGCATATAAATTTCCAGTATACAAGGTGTTTCTAAAACTATATCAGAGATTTTAAGGGCGTATATTTTAGGGAGCAAAATAAGAGGAAAAATTCCTATAAACATGGGTCCAAAAATGCTTTTCCTCCGAGTTATAACCCTCTAAAGAGGGGGGAAAATCTAAAAATGTATTGTGATTGTGGGAGATTTTTTCACAGATTGTTGAAAAAGTCGGTTTTTCACGATTTGTGAAAAAAATCTCCGAAAACTACAATAAACATTTTTCGATTTTTTCACCTATCTTGAAGAGACAATTCCCTTCACTCGGAGGGAAAGCATTTTTGGACCCATGTTTATAGGAACTTTTTTCTTATTTTGACTTTTAGAATATACCTACCCTTAAAATCTCTGACTAGTTTTAGAAATACCTTGTATACTAGCATCATACAATTAATTTTTTTCGGGACTTAAGTCCAACCCGCCTTTAAATCGAATAGAAATCGAGGGCATCGATATCGGCCTGGACCAGCGAGCGAATGCAGCGTGCCGCATAGCGCGATGCGCATCGCGGCGATGCTGCGCCGCACATAAAACGCGAGAGATAACTCTCGACCGACGTCGCGCCGCGAAGGATCAGCTGTGGGCGCGGCGGATATCCCGCTGTGTCTCTCCAGCATGGCCGACGTCATATGCACACCCACGCCGTGTCTTTCCTCGTCTGCTTCCCACTGTAACCGCGTTCGCCTTTCTCGATTCTCTCGCCACATCGAATTACACGGTCGGCGAAGTCATTTACAAAGCTACGCCCGCGAGTGCGCGAGCGCGCCTCATATCCGTTACATCCCTTCGCTGCGGTGGTGCGGGCAAATTCGCGATCGCCGATAACGATACCGAGAGATTAATGGCGCCGCGGCGCCTTTGTCTTTAACTGGCAGGGGCACGTCGACAAAAGTAGTCGTGAGGTCCCTGATTAATTAGGAACACGGGCGTGGTAATGGATTGGACGGAGGGGAATATTTCGCGATCGAGAAAATCACATCACTGCTTTCTCCACTTGTCATTTGCGAAAGCGTGAATAATGTCCTTTTTAAAGTAATACATGTGTTGTTGTTTCAATCTTATATGTTATATACATTTATGTATAAAAGAATGTTAGTGCAGATTAATAAGATATAATATAAATATGAAAACGCTAAAAAAGAATTTTAATTAAAGTTTAGATACTTGTAAAGGCTTACATTCTGTAAAAATTTATATTTTGTATCACTTAAAATATATATATATATACTTATTTTTACAATGTATAGTACAGAGAGAATTTTCTCTTAAAATTTACCGTGAAAATCATGGTAATCGTGGGACAAAATGGTATATTGGAAACTTTATGGGTTTTTCTAAAATATTTACCACAATGAAAAATATTAATTTAATTGTACATTTATATTTTATTGTGGTATATTAATATTTTTTATTGTGGTAAAAAATTAGAAAAGCTCATAAAATTCTTCGAATACAAATTGTTTTACGATTATCATGATTTTTAGAATAAATTCTAAAAGAAAATTCTGTCTGTGTATATTAAAGAATCCCAAGAAAAATCCCATTAATTACTGCAAAATAATATTTATATGCATACAATGATCCTTAGAATTTCGTTCATTTTATAGTCTCTGTTATAGTCTTTCAAGATACGTAATCCTGTCTATCGAGAGAAGCTTAAAAGAAAATAGGTAAAACGATCTTGAATAATGATGGAATTATTTCAAGACATCAAAACTGATCTCAGTCGAGTTGTTACGCTTGTCCATTGCGAGGGAATAAGATCTAATCGCTTCCTGATTCAATTGTCTATTCAGACATTAACGCGAAGAGCCTCGTTTCTTCTTTTAACGTTTTTGACAAGAGTCGCGAGCTTTACGAGAGTCGCGGCTTCTTCCTCGCGGACACACGTCATACTTACGTGCTTCTCGTATGAATACAGCGAGGTTTCTTGTCTCGCCGATGCTTCGACAAGTATCAAGCCGTTTAATCTACGCGCATGTCACTGACGAAGCGAAAATTATTGCTACAATTTAAAGTATTGGTGCATCCACGATGAGGTACCACGCAATAATAGTATATAACGAGTCATGAATATAATAGAAATATGCAATTGGGCCCTAAACGTGCAATCGCAAACTTTAATTGACGCGGAAGCAAGGTCTACCGTTCGGCTATAGAGACGCAGAACTCACGTGTATCCCGCTAGTCATTTAATTCGCAAACGTGGCGGTTCGAGAAGCGTTACGCTTCGGCGCCAGTTTATCGGTAAATGGGGAAACAGCAAACGATGAGTAGGCACTGAATATTAAGGTAAAATGCTGGTACCTTTTCTAAGCTGACTTCGAAAAATACAATGTAAAAGAAAGTAATTTTTGCTTGTACTAAAAATTAACAATTTATAACTGACATTATTTTATTGTCTATTACTATTAATTAGAATAGTTATATATAATATGGGAATATCATGTGTTAATATAAGAATTAATTCTTTTATATATTATATACAGGCTGTTTACGTGAAAATTATGTCAGATTTTAAAAGGGCCTATTCCAGGGGTTAAAATAAGAAAAAAGTTCCTATAAACATGTGTCTAAAAATAAAAACTAGCATTCCCCCCTATTTTTCTCAAAATCGGATCAAATTGTGCAAAATTTCAACGATCTGTGAAAAAATCTCCGATAGCTAATACATTTTTCAATTTTTTCTCCCAACTTTAGGGGGCTATAACTTGGAAGAAAAGCATTTTTGGACCCATATTTATAGGAATTTTTTTTCTTATTAACCTCTTCTTTTTGACTCCTAAAATACACCCTTAAAATTTCTAACATAGTTTTAGAAATACTGTATATACTCTTGAAAAATATTTTTTAATATTTGTCATCTGAAAATAATAAAAGAAAGTTACGTTTGCACCTGTATATATAAAGTATATGATATATAAGCTATAATACTGTAACTGGAACTTTTAAAGACAAAAAATGTTTCATGGTACATAAATTGATACACACATACATAAGTTGGTCTTTTCTTTCTGAACATGTTAATCATTTCATGTAGCGCCGCGAGTACGGAGAGGATTTTAGATTGGCGAGGAAAATCCGTAGATTGGTTAACGAGGCTCAGTACGAACTCGGCGAAATTGGCTCGATTAAAACCTACGGGGCAGCTGCCCCGAGGATTGTGCTCCGTCATGTGATTGGTCCCTTCTCCCAGGTCCTTTCTTCGATCTCCTCCATTTCGAGATGCATCGATACTCGGCCATCATTAATCATGCACTTTTGTACACACTCGTCGATGGGACTCCCTGCGAGGGACATCCGAGACGCAACAAAAATGAATCTCGAAGATCGGGACTGAGCTTGAACGCAATCGAGGCCAGATGTTATTAACTTATATAAAATAAATATAAACGAAAATGCTGCATTTTGTTATGGAAGTATCGGAACATTAATCGTGCGACTTTTAATAGCGATATATTATAATTACTCGGTGCAAAATTAAAAAATCGTAAATGCCAATCGCGCGACCGCATCGTAAAATTAAAAACCTAATTGCATATGCATATTAAGCAGTAAAATTAATTTTAGAATGGTCTATTATTATCTTTCTGCAAGCATGTGAGTTATATTAATAAATTTTATATACTTTGAGAGAGCGCATCATACATGCATCTGCTATTTTTTAAAATTATGTACACCTGGTAATACTTGATAAAGACATTAAAGTACTTGTCATTTTATAGTCAAATAAAGAAAACATTTAAAAGGCGATATAAGTTTAATTTCCGTGAATATCATTTTTAGACTGAAATGGATACAGAGGAGAATTAAGCATATAAAATGGAGTTTCACCCGTATATGCACTCGCATTTATTTGATTTGCATTTATAGAGTATCACCCGCATATATATTCCGTTTCTAGATAATGAACAAAAAGTATTTTACATACATTTTGTCCTAAGGAATCACGCGTGACATTTTAATTAAACAATATATTATTATTATGTATATTGATTATATTGCGTCGTACTATATACAGAGAAACAAAATTAAATTAAAGCTAATTAAATTAATAATAGTAAGATTTTTCACATACATGGATAATAATGGCATATCAACGTGGACATTTGATTTCAGGATATGGATCTAATTGAGGTTCTTTGGAAGCAGGATGTGGATCTCGGATTTACGTTGGTGGAACCAGCCACGACACCCGCCAAAAAGTCATCTACATCAGAAAAAGAATCAGCAGACGAAATTGAGAAGCTGAAAGCTTTGGAAGCTATTAATGCCACGAATCAAAAGGTACGAAAAACCTCTTTTTCTGATTAATACCTTTGAATTCTTCTTGACTCATTTCTCCTCCAAAATCACAAGGTTACACGAATTCGTTGTTTCGGTCTTCCAATCGCAGCAGCTAATGAGCAATTGTTTCTCAAGAACTTTCTGCTTTCACGCACGTAAAAGGAAGCGTTTGCTTCCTCGGACTCAATTTAAACATTCGTTTCTCCGTGTGCCAACGGGTCCATTGATGTCTTCCTGTGTCCCCCGGGTGATTATTGGAGATAGAAAGCTGAGCATACATATGTACGTTAAAGAATGGCTCGCGACGTCGCGCATTTTTTCGTTCTGTCTCTCCGGTAATCATCGACCGATTGCATTGCGCGAATAGGAAGCGACATTTTCCGCGACGTTTCAGAAGAAAAAGATTTACAGATTTATCTTCCGGGTATTTATACATACATTGCAGAATATTTCAGGATATTCTTCGTTTTTGCTTTTACCTACCATTAAGAATCAATTTGACGTTTCTTGGTTTGATAGAAGCATACACTGGTATGCATTTTTATTAATATTAGCTAATTGATGTGAAACATAAACAACAGCGTTATATATATATATGTATAAATAGATTTAAATCGATTCATGAAATTAATCATGAAGTATCTCAAATATAAGATTGACGCTGCTTGCTCGATTAACAGTGGAATTTGGCGCTCAGGTTATTTCTTTATCATCTATTGTACATTCTATATAAAATTTATTCCTGAAAGTCAACATTCGCATCGTTTATAAAATATTTATTTAAAGCAATTTTATTTTTATTTACGATTTTATTCTAGTTAGCGTATAACTTCCGTACTCGTATAATCGCTAGTAGATGATCGATCTCGATCGGAGACACTAAGCCGATCCAATCCATAGCGGCCATTTTTAGTAGACCCAAAGAGAAATTAGGAGTCCATGCATTCTCGGAGATATAATCTTAATCGATATTCCAATCTCTACATATATCGGCCATCGATCTTGTCTTTTCGAAGTTATACGCACACACCCGGATCAAGATAACGGATGTTTTGTCTCACGATATATTTACGATGATATTAATGTTTCACGAAAAGACACATGTCTTTATACAGTGTCACAGATGCTGCAATGCTTTAATAATTTATTGTAATTTTTTTCAGTTGTGTAGAAGATTGACTGGCCGCAATATTTCTTATTATAATAATATTCTATTGATATCATTACAGATAGAAATTATGAATTAATACGTTTTTTAGCATTTTTTTTGTTCTCTTCTTCTGTAAAGATATTTTTTGCAGAAATTATTGACTCTAATATAACATATTATTAACATGTGTTATACAAATAAAATATTATTTCATATGCTGCAAAAATGATATAATTTATGTTCTAATATAGAGAGCTTTTATTTCATCCTGCTTATTATCATAACAAGATGATGAATCTTTTAACTCTGTTGTTCGATTATCATCTATGATAATATATACCGAAACAATGGTGATTCCTCAATCGCTCGAACTAGAATCGATTTATGAAGAACTCTCTTTTGTCGATCGAATTCCAATTGGTTCTTGATCCAATTTTTGTCGTACAATGCAAGTTTATCGATAGCGACGACTTTTCTTCGCTTGGCGCGTTTCGGTGGATGGACACGAGGCGCATTTAAGTATCCGGCAGATTCGAGCCTACGAGAGCTCATCCATACGATGGTCACCGACAATGACGATGCATCGACGTTCTGGGCGGGTAACCCATCAGACTCCTCGACGTTCTTCGTCTTCCTCTCTGTCTCATCCTCTCTTCAGCCTCGCTTCTTTCGCTTGTCTCTCTCTCTCTCTCTTCTTCTCACGACCTTCGGTAGTCGGCGCTCCTTCTTTCTTGATTTCTTTCCCGACGTCGCTATGCGCCGCATCGTCTCTATCGACCTCTTCCTCTACGAAGATCGCATTGTTCCAGCAAGTCCCACCTTTGTGGGGGCTCGCCGCCGTCTTCGAGAGCCCAATAATACGGGGAAGACCCTCGATCCCGATCGAAAGCCGACATATCGATCCGAGACACGGTCCGCGAACAGCTGAGAACAAAGAAGAGCTCAGTCTCTCGACTTCTCTTTCTCTGTCTTGCATCGCGATGGTTTATTGACATGCATTGTTCCAACGTCTGGCCGCAGAATTGTTTTAATCGAAGACAAGCAGCGATCAAATAAAAAAATGATACGGCGTTGTTAGAAGCGATAAAGAGAAAATTTGATTGCGCGTAATTTTTTGAATCAAATATCACTTTTTTGGATTAAAAATCCGTAGAATTTTGACGAGCTTAATTCTTGATATATTATTGATATCTGCATGGTCCTGGATCTTTCTTTCGACATAAAAATTCGCTAAAATTAAATTGTCTATTAAAAGACAACTTTACAGAATTACCACCCTCTAAATTAAAATCAAGGTAAATGGCGCAATGAAAGTATTTTATAAAGGATCTTGGAACGCAGAATATTTGTCAACATGTTGTGCTATGCAAAAAGGACATTGATGTCACTAGGAAGACGCTAGGCAAGTGAATTACTGTAAACCACGTTGCATGTTGCTGTTGTACAATTATCTCAAGCCGCCATGACTGGTAAAAATTTTTAATCCAGAGCCAAGATTTAAATGATCGGTGCACGTCGCGGCGACAGGCTCCATTAGAGCGACTCCGTCTCGCTGCGAAACGGGAATGAATTATGGAGGCGTTTAGAGGAACGTCAATCTAGAAAGTAGGAAAAAGGAAGTTCGATCGAGCGATTCAGGATGGAAAGCATTCGTCGCGAAGACAACAAATTTTCCCGCTTAGCAAACGTCGTCACGGTTTTTTCGGGTATTTATCTATATTTATTGATTTTTCGCATGTTACTTCTTGACTGATGCACGTAAAAATATTATTAATAATATTGCAACAATTAGAGATGTTCAATTAAATTAAAAAATGTAACAATAAAAATAGACTATTCTTACAATGTTTCTCTTACATACATATACTTTTACAGATAACGTATACAGATACTTTTAATATTCGTTGCGATTTACTATAGATTGCGTATATCTTTATGCGTCTCATCAGTCAGCATTGATTCGTACCAATGATTTATCGTCTGCAACGCACAAACGTAATGCAAAACTCGATCGTTTTCCACTTAGAGAGTTCCTTGCCTCGTTGAATTGTTTTAACGCGAATGCGTATTGCGCACAAGATGAATCGCTGCGGAGCGTCTTACTCTCGATTCTAGAGAATCGCTTCCTCGGAGCCATCGTGACTGACGCGAATTTTTAATCCACCAACGCGATTCAAATGAAGCGAGCTTTCCTAGACGACGGGCTCCATTAGAGCGATTCCGTCTCGGTGCCAGAAGAATGAGGAGGGAGACTCGTGAGGAGGACCCCGTGGCAAGAAGAGGATGAGTCGATCCGCGCGATATAGGAGGATGTCGAAAACAACGGATTCTCTCGCCCCGTTCTCCATCCTCGCCGAGCGTATTCATAAAACCATCAAAATGGCTAGCGTTCATTTGTTCCTGCGATGTATCCGTGAAGCCGGCAGGGTCTGGTAAAATGATAGATGTACGCAGCATCCCCTTTGGTACGAGGGGCGCCATCGATGGACCTATCGGAACGGAAGAGAATCGGGACCAAAAAGAGAGGAGAAAGAGATAGAGAGAATTTGTCGATCCAAAGCGTTTCTCGCGAAAGAAAAAGAGAGATAGCGAACGAAGGGAGAGGGGATTTCGGGAGCCAGAGAGATTGGAACACTCTGGGAGGGGTATTCCGAGGGACGTATTGATGGTCCTGGAAATTGAAAACGCCCGGTGAGCCGAAGTGGGTTTGGCTTTCTCCTCTTGTCCCGATTGTTTCCATCGGCTGGAATTTCGGAACAAAATGGCGCGCACATGTGGTGATACCGATGATCGAGTTTATCGCATTTTTTGTATCCATTCCTTCCGGTGGAGCTATTTTTTAGCAACTTACTCATCTCTCTTTTCGTGGAACGATTTTTTTATTGGTACTATAAAAATTACGTTTTTCCATTTTATTTTCTATATATATTTAGCACAACCAACGTTGCTTTTTTTTGTATTATAAAAAATTTTGTAACATTTAATTATTGTTCATTCAAAATCATCCCCGGTTATTGAAACGAAATATTCAGAACGAGCCACGAAATGTGAAACGTGTCGCGAGTTCCATACGATTCGAACCAGCGTGACTCGCGCCGTATCTTTGGCGGCCGCGATACCGTATTGAATTCGTATTTACTCGCGTCGATCAAGGTTGATTTGAATTATGCTTTCTATCTCCACGCTAGGCCTTGTAAAGCGGTTGATCGGGGCAGACAGTTGTAACAGTTCGTAAACCTTAATTGAGAGCTATGCCGGCTATGCAAGTTCGTATCGCTGACAGGACCCCCATTGTCGCATCGAGGGCTGCGTCGTCGAGCACGACCGACGTTTTCTTCGAGAGTCGAAGAAGATGACGTTGTGGGCCCAAAATAAAGCGCATAGCTATACGCTGTGCCGTGACTCTTCAAAAAATATTTTAGGATCAATTTGAAGATGCAGAAACTTCTCGAGCAGCAGGCGGTTTTCATTTCTAAATAACGTTTTGTTCAACTTTAGATATACTAAAGGATATAAATTAAAAGAGTTACATTTATCTGATAATAATATGATTTTTATGGATAAAAAATATTTTCGGACCTATTCTAACGGTCGAATAACTCTATATAATAGTTCGTAGCGAAGTGGTCGATTTCGTGTAAATTCGATTTTAGAACGCCGAGATAGATTGAATTTCGTATTCATAACGTCGAGCTCGGCGTAACGCACCACTCAACAACGATACATCATATCGTCGAATGAAAAAATGACCGGAGAGCGTAGGCAGAACGGGGGGATGAAAGATTCGAGAGGGATCGACGAGGAAGAGCAGCGAAAAAAAGAGAGGGAGAGAGGCGGATTTTTAAAGGGAGGGGAAAAGGGATGGATAGAGAGGAGGCTGCGGTCGTGGATGGTTGCTATCAGGGACTCGCTATGATTAATGATCGAGTACAATACTGTTTTCATTAAACTCATTTCACTGCAGCTCGCATGTATCGCCACGCTACGGGCGACCTATGGCCCAGGACATACGCGCGCCCTTGGGCCCTTTTTCACGTCGGCGCGGCGGTATATAGGGTCGGCCGGCCGCTTGATTATGACGTCTCCATAAGACTCGACCTTGGCCGAGTCGAATGGCGTTCGACTGAATTCGGCCATTGTTGCCGAACTTGTTGACGAGCTTCATCTTAAATTCGTCGGCTTCGTAATCATCTTTGTTGGAATTACGTTTTATGCGATCGAGCTCCGGTGCCGATCACATCTCTTTTCGAAAGCCACACCACGGGTCCTTCGCTCCTGCTTGGCGTCCTTTGGACGCTGCAACGTCGTTAATTACGGTCAGCGCTCATTACATCTCGGCGCTCGTTCAATCTAATTTTCCAGCTAATTTACTCTTTGTCGCGATTTATGCACTGTTATTAATTGATTAATTTTAATTAATTTAATTATAGATAAATATAAATATAATATTATAAATATAAGAAATATTTTTACAGTTCGAGATAAACTTTACTCGCGGGGACGAGTCGCGTTTGTCTGAACATTTTGAGACATCTCAGGACGAAAGGAGATGATCCTTTCGTTCGCTTGGATCTATCACTTACCGGAAAAAGTTATTTCCAGGATGATGCCAAAGAGCCTGAATCGCAGGAAGATGATCCATGGGCAGGACTTCCTTACACCGTGGATCTCGAAACCGGTAAGTTTATTTACGATGTTTCTATTTTATTTCCATGTGTCATCTCTTATATTTATATAATAATTCAGGAAGAAAAAATATATTCGCGATCGATTAAAGGCGTTTATACGATGACTATAAATAAGCTATTTTAATCGAAATTATTATAGATCGCAATTTCCTTTTTAAATACTAATTAAGGAATTGATCCATACATACGCGTTGCACGCATGTTTCACATTTGTTCATATGCTAGCAAGAACAACTAAATACATCTGGCGTTCTTGCGGCTCTTTATGTCCGGAGCGTATCGAATTAACGCGGCAATTTGTAAGATCCAATCCGAACATTCGCTATAGTCCGAGTCAGCCGCACCTGGCCGCGCCTTTGCGTGGCTAATTAGCATAAACACGCCGACCGAATGCACTTCGTCGATCATTCCTTTGGAAGTACATATACCGTACACCATGAAACATTTTGTTGCTATATACATCGTGAAAGAACACATTCGTTAAAAAGGTATGGTCTTAAACTTAAAAAATATATTAGTCAATCAAATTGAAAATGCGAAAATATATTTCGTGCGATTCTTAATAAGATACATATATCAAAAATACTAGAGCAATTGAATTGAACAATTAAAATTATTATAATTTCCCATGAATAACGATTATAAAAATGACCGAGGACTTACATTTACGTAATTAAGTAATTGATTCGTCGAAATTAAAGACTCTAGGCGCAATGTAAAATTAATAGAATTATAGTATACTTAATTGGAATTCGTATATATCATGTATATTCATACATATATGATATATTGTGATAATAAACGTTTTAATAGACTAGGCTACGTCGTCTAGTCTTTTTTTCTTTTTGGCATTCTTATCGCGCGCACTTTCTGTCGCATAATAAAAGGAGAGGTAAATACGCTAACAGCGAGAAATGTTATGCGACACGAACTGCATGTGGGAGAACGCTCGAGGACACTTGCGCGAATGTCGGGAGCGAGAGAGAAATGGAAGGAGACTGTAACGAGCGCGCATGTAACACACCGCGGCGTCTACCTGCATGCCAAGGTGCACTTTATTCAGGTATATAACTACAGGTTTCCAAGCAAGCAGGTTCCAGTTCCGGAGGACTCGAGGTTGGGGAGTGGCTTCAGGAACGCCCTCGCTACCTTCCTCCCTACCTTCTCGTCTTTTCAACCCCACCAGCCTGTCCAGCCCTTCGGTCGGGTTCGGTTTCCCTCTCTCTCTCTCTCTCTCTCTCTCTCTCTTTTATTACTTTACGCCCGACAGAATATACGCCTAGCTATGAGACACTCTACGTCGAGCGTGCTATCGACGGTTGACGAAGGTCCGCTTGTTAAATTCTCCTTAGAAATCCATATACATATACATACATATATCGACGTCTCAGTTATATGTCACTATCTCAAAGATCATTTTAAAGCAATGGACAATACTTGAAATAATAAAAGATTTTGAAAACAGGGAAAAATGTTGTTGAATATTGTGTATCTATATATGCTTACAAAGAACCCCGCACAAACTTTATAGATTTTGGTTTTCGATTAAATTGATTGAAACTAGTATGTTACAATATTTGACTTACTAATCAAAAGTCTTCACAGGCACAAAGCTTGAAAATGGCTAGTTTTTTTGCTACAGCCATTTAAAATGTTGAATTTTAGCATTATTGCAGTAACGTTTTACATCAGTCTTTTTGCAAGAAACTTTATTGAAAATTCTGACTTTAGTAAAACTTCATATTTATGTTAGGAGACAAAATAGATAAATTTGTAAATATTTCGTAGCTGTTGCTCCAAAATGGTTTTAAGAGATTAAAACTACACCTCATATTAGAGCGGTTTTTTGCTTTTTTCGAAATATATCTCGAATGCTTTCCGAAATATATTTCGAGAAAAGCAAAAACCTGCTTTATATATAAGAGATGGTTTTATCTCTTAAAAATTTAAAACCATTTTTGAACATGAACTGAATATTTATAAATTTATCTATTTAGTCTCCTAATATGTGTATAAAGTTTTATTAAAATCAGAATTTTCACATTTTCTGGCAAAAACTGATGTAGAACGTTACTGAAATAATGCTAAAATTCAACACTTTAAATGGCTGTAGCAAAAAAGTAGTCATTCTTAAACTTTGTGCCTATGTGGAGATTTCTGATCAGCGAATCAAAAACTATAACATACTACAGTTTCAGCCAATTTCACCAAGGGCCAAAATCCATAAGGTTTATGCGGACATTTTTTTAATAAGATATTCTATTAATTAAGCATTTGAAATAACTTTATTAGATTTATATATTTTTATTTACACATACACATTTTTCTTACAAATTAAAAGATTTTCATATATTTTTTACACAGATGTTACACGGTTTGTATAAAAATTATTTCGGGTATTAATATCTCTCTTTTTATTTTAATTTTTTTCAACCACATACGGTTTCTAGTTTATTCGTCAAAAGTAATATTGAAAAATTATTGACAGCTTAAGGAGAACGCTATAGATTGACGTATTTCTTCGCTTACCATAACGATACGCGGAAACAAATTAATCCGTTAGTGCGGTAATAACTTTTTAAGCTGAGAATGGACCAAGAAGAGCAGCAGAGCTCATTACGCGGTTATCTCGTCGTTGATCAATCGAGATATTCGGCGCATGGCGTATATGATTAATGAGTTACTAGACTAATACGTAAGAAATTCTTCCATCATTCTTATTCCGTAGGGTTTGATGGGAGAAAATGGTGGTCCGTTGTAATATAAAGCAAGAGTGCGATGCGTACGCTGAAAAAAAATAGCGATCGATTTGATTGAAAATTAATTATGAAACTATTTAAAGAAAGTCGCACTACACGTTATTTCATCTGAAGCTTGTCATAGATCATAAAAACTCGTCAATTTACGCAAAATCGGAAAATCTTGACACGTCATTTTTTTCTGTCAAACATTTGTACGAGACATCTTAATTTCTAGTTTTTTCGCTTTGATACTTATATAAAAGAAGCCTTAATTTTCAATTAGTATATTAAACAATCTTATTGGTTTAATATGAATTGAAGTTAAAATTTGATTAAAGCTACAAATATTTATTATTAAATATTACAAAATTGCTAAAGACCTCTTTTCCATCATTTTTGATAAGAAAAGATGTTGAATTTATCATAAAATCTGTCATAAAAAAACTAATATGGCATTTATGACACAAGCTATATATTGATACTTGAATCGTACGAGAATAATCATATTTATAGAATATATTTCATGCGAATCGTTATATCCGCGCGCGAGGGTAGTACATAGTTTGAAATGAAAAGAAACCGAGGAAGGAATGAAAAGGGCAGCATATACGTTACCGTTGCAACGCAAAGTGCTTGTACCAATTTGACGAAGCATGATGGATTATATGGCGGTTCGTGTAAAAAATTTACATCCACAGAATAAATTATCATAACATTGTCTCGAACGCGAGCGTACGTATTAAGTGCACTTTTGACACATTTTATGTATCAACGCATTCAATCGCAGTCGACTAAATGAATTTTTAGGACTGCAGTGAATTTTATTCGTAACAACTGTTTTATTAATTTTAAAATATTTAGGATTCTCGAAAATAATCCCGTACAATAATACAATATACGCGCAGTTTAATCGAAGTGAAACTTATTTGAACGTCAAGATTATAAGCACAGATATTTGATAGTCTTAGTGTTTATACGTGATTGGTAAGCAATAAGAGCATAACCCGACTATCGCATGTTCGTGATACTTTTATATTTATTATAACGATACGTCTATACGAATGGAAAGGTTCGGATAATCGTTTAGCCGACCATTAACACCTTCTATACTGAATAACTTGTATCGAGATCGATGTTGTGCTAAGAGATATATCGGTTTTCGTTACGCCTCATAAGATTCAAGTCATATAATAGGTGTTCAACCTCTACAACTCCACCTTCTCAGATATAAGCCTGTGACATTATCTGTAGCTTTGACTACATGGATTAAACAGGTAGATCATATAAAATTTCTACAGAAACTCTTAAGTAGAAAGATATTCTACTTAAAAGCGGAAGAATTTGTTTGTTAATCAGTTATAATCGTAGATATTGAGATTAATGTTATGCAATAAAAAATTATTCGCGTGAAATAAAAATCGATGTTAAGAGAATAAGTCTTTTAATTATCGAAATATAATTTTATTTCAATTTTTCTTTGATTAAATTTTGATATTAATAAGTTAATAATTATTATTGAATTTTTTACGTATTTTTATTTATCGTAGTATTATTGAATTATTTATTATATTTATTTATTATGAAACTATATATTGTTTATTGAATTAATATATAAATGAGAATTAATAAACAATATATAATTTATAAAGTTGTTTTGAATATTTGTCTTATCTTGATAACAATCTTGTGATTTTGCATATTTTAAAGACATTACGCGAACAATTAATGTTAAAAATAAACTTTTCCACGATTTTCATTTGAAAATATATTTTTATTGTTTGAAAATTCTTGAGTAACACATGCCACACCTTATTCTAACACATGTTGCATAATACATGAATAACTATAATTTCTATTTGCAATTTTACTCCTACACGATATACACCCGATATACACGCGCGTCTTATTTGCGCGATGATCGCATTGGTGATAGTTTTAAGATGTAATTTTACGCTGCTAATAATCAGATCGTGTTAAAAAAAATATAGACTTCGTGAATAATTTATAGTATCTAATTTTTTTTAATACTTCGTAGATTTAAAAAACGTTGATTCCAGATAACCGGCTTTTTTGCTTCATTTTTTTTTTATTTATGATGTAATGATGATCGCGGAAAATTATTATCATTACGGAGATTTATTTAAAAAATATTATAATGAATACCGAGCAATATGAATACAATAATTAAAGATATTTTATATTTTTTCAAAAATAATTGTGTTCAAAGACATTTATGGCAGATAATTACG